AGGACGAGGAGGAGGAGTACCAGGAGCAGGAGCAGGAGCAGGAGCAGGAGCAGGAGGAGAAGAGGAGGATGCGTTGTGGAAAAACGCAGCGCCAGGGTCTCGGGACCTTGTCCTCGAGAGGGCGTCCCCCCCCTCCTCCCGGCAGGCAGCCTGCAGCGCCTGCTGGAGAGCTTGTGCAGGCCCCCCAACGGAGTGCTCAACGAGGACGGCGCCCCGCCCGCGCGGGCAGCGCCGCTCCCCCCCGCCGGTTTTTTCGGCCGTGGGGGGCGAACAAGAGGAGGAAGAGGTACCCTTAAGTCGGGCCTGTCCCTCTGCAGGGGGAGTATTTCAAATTGCTTTAAGAACATCGTCAGGGAACCCTTTTTTGGGTGGGGGCATTGTTTGGCCATTTGGGAGTATGTTTTGTATATATGTCGGCGGTGCGCCGTGGCACGAACCCCCCCCCCAGCACTACCGGGGGGTTTCGTGCACTACCGGGGGGTTTCGTGCAGCCCGCACCGGGTGCCGCCAGCGGCTTAGAACACCCCCCCCTTGCCGCTTTACCGGGGGGTTTCGTGCAGGCCGCACTGCGTCTACCTGGGCTCCCCCCCCCCCTGTGGGAGTGGGGGGGTGGGAGTGGGGGGTGGGTTGGGGGGGGGGCAGGGGGGCGGTTGGGAAGGGTGGCTCCCTGTCGAAGTGTGGCGTGTGCTCGCCTTGTGTTCTCTATTCGCGTCTGCTCGCCTTTGTTCCGCCGCAGCCTCTCGTATTGTGGCTCGTGGCCACAATACGAGAGGCTGCGGCGCAACTCCCGAGAGCCGCTGTGGGGGGTCGACGGCACGGCCGCGTAGAGAAGAACAGTGCCGCCGTGTTCCGGCACGGCCCTGGGATGCAATGCCGCCGCCGTGTTCCGGCCCGTCCTGGTAAGATTCGCGCGTCGGGGCTGGGGTTTCGCGCGTGCCGGGAGCGCGCCGCTTACGGAGGGGTTGCGTCCTTACCGGGGGGTTTCGTGCAGCCTACCAAAGGAGGTCGTGTTTACCGGGGGGGTTCGTGCAGGCTCGCACCGGGAATGGCGCCAGCTCGAAACCCCCCAGGAGAGATTACCGGGGGGGGGGGTTCGCTCCGCACCGGGCACCGCCGACATATATGTTTTTTGTCTTTCGCCCATAGATCGCCTGTAGGGGG